ACTCAGCCACTTGATTTCCGTTTCAGTGCACTTGTAAGCAGCTGGTTTAAAGTTTCATTGTCTAGTTTTTCTTCCTTTGATTCAAGGGAGCCAGATACTCGCGACGTTTCATCTACTTCTGCAAAATTAGTAATAAAAATCAAAGAACAGATAGAAAAACTTTTAAATGCGAAATACCTTCGAGTTGCCCTTTAATTCCATCCGTCACTGCTTTTTCAAGTTGTAGTTTCTTGCGCGCTAAGCAGTGAATATCAACCTAAAGCCATTGCATAAGAAATGTAAAAATTAGAAAAAAATGGGGGTTCGTAACCTAATGTGATACAGTTTAGGCAAATCACCTCTACAGTGTCCTTACTGATAAGTTTGGTGACGAACACTTCTTTCTTCTGACCCATACGGTGGCATCGGTCTTCAGCCTGAAAGTGATCCACCATTTGCCGAAGCAACTTCGCCTCTTTGTGCAGTGAGTTTTGCCCTCATTATATTAACAATTCGACAAGAAACTTTTTTTAAAGATTGCACTGCAAAGGAAATTTGAACTTTGAGCTAACCTGCTTGTCATTGTAAGGATTGAAATCAATGTCGTGAAGAATAATGTGATTCGCTGATGTTAGATTGATTCCTAACCCTCCGGCACGAGTCGATAAAAGGAACACAAAGAGATCATCATCATTATTGAACTCGTTAATCATTTCCTGCCTGAAATAGATATCAGCAAAGTGATGCTAACGATACGGACTTACAAATCCAGCCATTGCTCAATTACAAAACCCGCTATGTAAGAAATTAGTGTCCTAATCAGTTAATGCTAACTGCTAATTACTTTAATTGATTATACGGTGCATACTTTTCCACCGTATTTTTTACCAGTGCTCACCTTTCCATCACCGGTGTTGACCCATCCAATCGCTTGTACGCGTATCCCCGTATTCGCATATAAACCTCCAGAATATCAAGCATTGAGGTAAATTGTGAGAAAATGAGCAACTTATCGCCCTGCAACAACCATTTCTATCAAAAAAAGACTGACGAGAACTAGACAGACCTTTTCAATGATCTTTGGTAGGAGGTTGTCTAAAATCCGACATTTACCGGATTCTAAGGCTAGATCCTCCCTAAGCAAGAATTTCTTAGTACTGCGATATTTTTCGCATATTTGATGAATTTGGAAGTCCGACTG